AAGAAAACCGGGCAACACACACACACACACACACACCCACCTTTTTTTAAATAAATGAGACCAAGATCAAGATAAGAGATCTTCAGAACTTAATACATCATTGTTAATCAATCTTTGCCTAATTAATACCATTCTAAGTGCAAAAAAGAAAGCCTAACCATCCAATCTATCTAATGCTCACTGGCTACTGACTTGAGATTGACAAGGCAGCAGCCAATGATCATGCAGTTAACAGTCCTCTCATTATCACCAACATCATCATATCCAATTTCAGATTGTGACAGACAATTTGCTGATCTCGAAGCTTTACAGCTGGCCTTCAGAAACCAATGAGTGATGTCATTGTAGCGTAGTCTATCTTCTATACTTCCTATGGCTGGAACCAGCACGCTTTAAAAGGCGGAACATTTTCTTGGAAGGCTTGTTAGTTTCAGCAAACAGCGTGGCGTGCAACCACTCAGCTACTGGACAGGGAATACACTTTTTCCCCCGGTGCCTCGAGGTTTCCAGGTGGTCACTGGTTTATAGGCCTGTGTGACAGAGGCTTTATGAAGGAATAATTTGGTCAGTGTCTATAAAACATGGTAGCAGATCAGAGACAAGTAGGGGAACACTGGGATGCTGTTTTTTCTTTTTGTTTTTTTAATATATCCATTTATTATATAACTTTTCTGCCCTGGTTGTGCTGCTGTTGAGTGTTAATGCAGTCTTCCTTGTTTTTATGGCATTCATTTACCTTTAATAAATACATTACTATTATACATTAAGGTATTTACTATATACTAAGATTTGACAGCTGCTTCAGGAATGGGGGCTGCAAAAAAACACCTTAAACACATTTTAGTGCTCGTCTAAGATGTACTGAAGCATTTCATTTAAAACTTTTATTTTGATGTTTTGATTAAAAAAATGTAAATAATTTACTGCTAATTTCTTTAGTTATTGCTATGTACATAAAATCATAGGGTATTATTCTGTAATTTAATTTCTTGGCTGAAATTAAGCTCTTCTCTGCTACCTAATGGCCAAGCACCATTAAAGAAAAGAGAAAAAAAAGTCCTGTATCGCCATGAATACAAGCGGACATTATGCAAATATACATATTTGAACAAATCTGGACTTATTCTACAGATCTGGTTATGTAGCCAGCCCAAGAGATGAAATATGCTGTATCACTTAATAATGTGACTATTAATTTAACATTTAAAAAACATGCTTCATTTAATGTGCTGCTAATAATAAGTTAAGAACACCTCATTTTTCACAGGTAATTGAAAACAGACATTAAAAACTAAGTCTGTCAAGAGAACAGCCAAAGATAATTACATTTAAAAAAGCCTTGAAAATCAGTCTACTGAGCAGTTTGATAATGGGCTTTAATTATAAATGTGCAAACTTTTGCACTTTGCCGGGTTTTATGGTTTTTAGAGATTCAGTGCCTGCAAGAAGGCAGAGATGCAGATACAGTAGTATAGATGTGGAAGTATTAGAGAAGAAATCCTAGTAAACACACATACACGCACAAATACAGGAAGATACCACTTGAGTTAAACACGAGCTGCAGTTTATCAATAGAAATAATTATCGCCCGGGGCAGTCTTTATAAATTAAGGGACGCATTTATTTCAATTATCTCATATCCAAGTTCATTTCAGCACACGTTTTTCAGGGAATCGCTTGGGCTTTAATCATCTCACATCCACACACACACACATGCACACAATGACAAACACACATACAGTTGGAAATCCCTTGTTGTCATTAGCAGATAGTTTCTGCTATCTTGCATATGAATTGCTCTCATGTTAATGGGAGTGGGGAGGCATATCAAGGACAGGCAGGAAACCAGTGATGCATGTAATGCTGATAAGAATTCCTCTCAACTTCTCCTTAACGCTCCAGTAAGGAATTGTAAATGAACTATCTGTGTGCCTTCAGTGTATGTGTGCATGAGCAAGTCAGAAAACTTTTAGATAAAAGTTAATATGGTGTCTGTACGTACAGCTCTTATTAGAAACTTGTTTAACCAAGTCAAATGTATCAAACTAGTAACAACTGGGAATAAATTAAGCACAGTTTGGTATAAAACCGACAGAAACAAAGGACCTTTTAAGGCCACACGGAGTAAATGAGCAATAAAACCTTTTAGTTTTATTGCCCATCTAGTGAGTCGAGATAGAGGACAAAATTAATAAAAAGTTAAAGTAATTTCACAATAATTACCTAAAAGCCTATTTGTATTGCTTCAGTTTACTGTCAACGGTCCATGACCACATGATTAAACAAATAAATTGGTTGCAAAGCAAATGCAATCAAAAACAATCCGGCATGAAGGCGAGTGAGGAAAAAGATTGTTTTTAAATTTGACTGACCTAATATACACTACTTGCATTTAGCACTCAAAGCACTTTAGACCGCAAGACACATTTTTAATCAAACATTCACAAGGTGCTTTATCCCATATATTAAAAAAAAAAAATCAACTTCGCATTCATTAGCCATTTTGCTGCACCAATTAACCTAAAAATGCATGTCTTTGGACTGTGGGTGGAAAAGAGCACCCAGAGGAAGCCCACGCAGGCACGGGGACCATCCAAACTCCAAACACAAAGCCCCAGATGGAGTTTCAACCAGCAAAATTCTTGCTGTGAGGTGACGGTGTTACCAAATGGACCATCCAAAAAGTGTGGTTTGACATTTCTAAAAATGTGTCATTAACCGCTTCCCTCCTGTTCTGGGTCCGGAGTGGTGCCATTTTTCAAAGGTTACCCATCATGGGACATTCAGTGAGAAGGCCGCCTACGACCATCATGACTAAAACAGATGCGGGATCTGTTGGGCGTTATTTGTGTTGCATTAGATTTTAGAACAGGTTCAGTGTCACTGACTCATTATCTTATAGGTTTTTTTTAATGCTGATAATTTTGTGTTATGTGAAAGTAAAGTTGTCAACATCTGATGGAAGCACAAGGACACCTCAGCTTATTTCTTTAACATTTTTTACGTTGACCTTAATGTTTTGCAGTTGTTACTAAACCGAATTTGAAGTTTTAGGTTTGTATAGTTTTTCATGTGAATAGAATCAGTTGCCCCTGAAGTGACTGCTGCTGTAAGGCCAGATTGGCTGACATTCAGTTTTTTTTAAAGAGAGGACATTAGTATGCATTACAATATGTAAGAAAGAGCAGAGAGTGATTTTCAGAGTTTATCTCTGACTGTTAACACATTCAAAACTCAGACCTTTGTTTGGTGTTAGTTTGATGCGGGGTTGCAAGGTCTGCTTGATTAATCTAAGACTGTGTCATCTGCTTGGGTCAGTTTCTCTGGCCAGTGGAAAATGAGAAATAAAGCAAAGGCCATGTCCCCTGCCTCCCCGCCGATTAAAAAAAAGACTACTTTCACAAAAGCCCAAAGATATTTTAACTCGGCATATAAATCCTTGAAAAGTCTCTCGGCTTAGGAGTGATTTGGGAAAGTTCAACAAAGCAACTCAAGTGTGATGATAAATCAGTGAGTTTTATTCCAGTGAAAATGCTAAAAGAAATCTCACCATGCTTTATTCAAACTACAACATTTACTACATTTTTGTATGTTTTGCTTAGTACTAAAAAACACCCAGTAACCAGACTTGTAGTTAGAGCAGCAAGCTTCCCAACAATCTGATGCAGACTGCTTTTTGTGTCAGCACAGCCTTCTTAGCATTTATTAGCTGGACATAAGACTGGCTCAAGGCTTTCTCCAATTAGTCTGATTGCAAATCTTTGCTGCCAAGTTTTTAAATATGGTTGTTCAACAAGTCTGTCAGTCATGATGATATGTGCTGATTAAGGATCAAGAACCAACACAGTCAACTTTCCCAATAATGGGTGCAAGGTTCACTTATAAGAAGCACTCAGTAATAAAATATAGTGATGTTATAGTTTGTGTAACCACGCTCCGAGTTCTGCATTTTGATTTGTTATACAAGCATGTCCAGGTGGCGATCGCTTTCCTGTCAACACTGTTTGATATGTGGTATATTTATATAGAATGTGCAAGGTTTTGTGTATACTCTCCCACCATGAAGCCTTAGTAGTTTAACAGAACCAAACTGGGATAATATTTAAATTGCAACTTTTATTCTGTTGGGAATCAAGAGTGCATGTTGAACTGCAGGAGCATGGTTCACAGCAATATTGAAAATGTGTTAAAATGGTCTGACTGCACCACAAAGCTCCCAAAGCGCCCACACTGCCAAAGTCTGAAGTTTAACAGCCGTCAAAATGTGAGCTAACGACTGTGCTTTGGCTCATCGGTTTAAATGCCACTTTCACACATCACTTACATGGCGTTGTCACCCAGCTCTTCATACAGGTTGTTGGCAGTGCCTCCCCCAGGTTTGCCTGTTGGCAGTGCCATCTGGATGCGGGCTGTTTTGGCACACTCTGCTTGACGCCTGGACAGAGCAGAGAGGAAATGCAGAGTTAGTTATCTAAAGTCAGAGCAAAGCCATTTGAACCAACCTTTGAAAACAGTGATGTAGGCATAATCAAGCACGAAGGCTCTAACTTTCTACTTTCTCTAAAATGTCTCCTCTGTGTTCTATCAACACCTTGTTATTAACAAAAAATTAATTTCACTATCCAGTGTCCGCTGTAGAGTCTGTTCTGCACTTTAGTTCTGACTAAACAATCCCAACTGAGGAAATGATTTCTGTCACATTTTCCACAGAGATTCATTAGTCCATGGGGATTAAGATGTCTGAATGTGGTAACCTCTGACCTTTTCATTACTACCACAGTGAGACTGACATTTCTGGCCTCGTATTTACATTTTCCATGAGGATGCACTGTCATGACACTGGTGATCCCTTAAGATTTCCCTGCAGTGATCTGTCTAAGAATATATAAGCCTTGGCTGCAATTAGGAAATATCAGCATAACAAAATGCTAAAAAAAAACCCCCACAAATGCAAAAGACAGTTGTGTAACACTGTATCGGAGCATACTGCTATTGTAGTATTTTCAGATTCAGTCTTGCAGATACTGTAGCACTCTTATAATGCACTGCCAGGCTAAAAAACAATAAAAAATCACCACCTGGATAAATAAGCAAATAGGTAAGAGCCTTCTGTTGGATAATTACCACAGTGATTAATAAGTGTTGGCTTGCAATATAATATTTAATCCTAATTAATGCAGTAAATAGCTTCTTATTGCAAACTCTGGATGGAAATAAGGTTACTGCAACAATGCCACAGTGAAAATGTCCAAAGAAATAGGAGTCTGCAAGTGCTTTTTGTGGCAGGGTAGTTTAGTTTCTCCACCCAGTAACAACAAACCTCTATTTCTTGTTGAGGTGCAGCATGTTAAAGTCCCAAACTACTCAAGTTTTAATGCATGGCATCATAAAACACGGGGGAATGCAGACGCGAGTAGTGAGAACTCAAAGTAAGTACACTGACTGAGTAATACGAATCACACAGCATAATGCAGTAAATGTTTGCTAACATCAGACGCTGCAACAATATGCTGAAATGACTGCTTAAAGTTTTATATCATCACTTCAAATAAAAACGTAGGAGTGCTACTGTTATCCACTCTACATAATCCTGATATGCACTACTACTTGACGCACAAATGAAAACACACACACTCTAATAAAAGCATCTGCTCTGGACATTTATGCTCCATGTTCTTCAGGATTCATTTGTTTGATAGTCTGCTGTCCTCTCCGTTTCATAGCTCTTTCTGATCTCATCCATCTTATTGTACAATGAAAGTCAACAGATTAATCAAAGTGAAAGGTGTTTAAGACAGCCATGACATTAATATTTTATCTTGGGAAAATAAAAGCGGTACTCACTCTTTGAATCTGGTGGCGACAGATGCGGCAGATGAGAGAGAGAAAGATTAGTTATTATTTGAGCCATTAATCACAGTTCTTCTTGTTAGCCAAGTTTACTTACTGCAATTTACAAGCAAAGTTGGACAATTGGTCTTCATTAAAGTAATTTAGCAAAAGATACTAGTGATTATCATGCTGATGATTGCTTTTATGTTTTTTCTGTCTTCATATTCCCTCTTGTTGTCTGTTATTTGTCTCTGTTTCTCAGCAGGATAAAAGGCTCTTTCCAAAATGCACTGATTTAATTCAGATGTGTGTGTATGTGTGAAATGGTTCACGCGTGTTTGGGAGATGGATAAAATTAATAGCCTTTCACTGTGGTTAGCTAAACAAACTATTAGAATTGGCACTCTGGGGGCAGTCTGCCATGCTGAATAGTCTGGGGAACTGACTGGCCCAGGTGATGATAAACAGTGGAAAAAGAGCGACTGTCAGTTCTGCTTGACTGCCTACATGCTCTTGAAAGAAATTGATAAGTCTTCTATATGGCTTGTTATCTTTGCTACACTAGAAGTCAAATCCTCCGTTCATACTGATTAGTTTTGAGCACCTAAATGCATGCATTATAAATCTGTTGAGCCAAATTTATGCTGATGATTTAACTTCATGCACACGTTTTCCAGCCACTGACATAATTGTGCTTGAAGTGAAAATGTCAGCATCAGACATGCATTACAAAGAGCTTCAAAAGACTTTGAACCACTCCTCATTTGTTGATATTTTGCTAAAAAAAAAAAAGGGAAATCGATGCAGTAATTTATGTATTTTAACATGTGCCTATATATGAATATCTATATATACAGTATATAAGACAAAGGCAGGGTTTGTACAACTCTAACAAGCTTAAAAATCAATATCTGGTATTCTTCAACGCAGCTTGAATTCTCTTAAGTGTTTTTAATTGAGCCATTAGTTTAAATAGAGTTACCTCTCATTTCTTTACAATTCTAATAAGCTTGTTAGTGACTATTGGATAAGACCACTTTTATTCTTCAGCACAGTCTGAACTCTCTCATCCAGCTTTCTTGTCATTTCTTTAAGTAGTCTTCAGGAATATTTCTCCAGGCTTCTTGAAGCTGTTCTGTCAAGATGACCCCACACTGCTTCAGTAATGTTGAGATCTGGGCTCTGGTATGGTATCTTGTATGCTTTTACTGCACTAATAGTGGTTTTGAGATCATGGTCATCCAAAATACAGCTCATGCCAATCAGTTTTGACAAGCTCTTCAATACCACTGTGGCGTGGGTGTGGTTTCTGGCCGGCTGCAGCAGAGGGGTGACGCAGTGAGCTCCCGGGGCGGCGCAGGGGCGGGGTGAACAGGTGTGCTGGGATGTGAACGTGATTGTGACTCTTTATATGTTCACAGTGACAGTTGGAGAGAGAGGAGAGCGGACGTGACAGCGGAGCGGGAGTGTCTGTGTCCCAGTAAACAAAATCACAGCAAAACCAAACGAGTAAATAAAGAAGTGCTGTCATCACGTCCGTGTTCTGTACATGTGTAACGGGTCCAACGTCACAACCACTTACTGAAATACAGACCATGATAGAGCCTCAGCTGTGTTTTACAGTCCCTCTTTAGACTGTAGACACTGGTAACAAAAGAAATACTTCAAATTTGGATTTATCACTCTATAAGACCTGTTATTATTGAGTTTCAGTCCAGATCTTATGGATTTTTTCTCACTGTTTCCCTTCCTTGAGATAATTTCTGATGGATTTCGGGTGATGATGGACCAACTGATCGATCAGGTCCTGTGTCTGGACTTTTGGGGATTTTTATATTTTACAAAGACTTGGCTTTTTAGATATTGTTAATCTTCTTTAGGTCTTCTTTGTTCTATAATTAATTTTCTAAAAATGTACAGAAACTGAACTGCAAATGAGTTAAAAAGCCAAGGAAAAACTTCAGAAAGCCAAGAGAACTATTTCCCAAGACCACTTTAACAATAACTAGAAAGTCTGGCTGCTTGGAAGCAAAAAGTAAAGAAATGAGGGGTGGTTCAAGACTGTTGCACAACACTCTACAGCTGACTTAACAGATTCCTATTGTGTAAACATTTTAATCAAATGATTCATACTTGACTAATACACATTTTCACCAAGGAACTAAAACTGAATCCCAATCAAGTGAACCCCCCCCCAAAAAAACCCCCAAAACTAACAATAAAAACATGGATAAGGTGGTTCTTCATACGACCTTCCTGCCCAAACAGCTTTTTTAGCTGTAAAACAGTTTGTTCCTAATAAATAAAAAAAATACTCTGAATGTATTTAAAAAAAACCACTCAGTTATTTTCTAAAGTGGACGGATGTTTTTGTTTATATCAAATGTTATTCAAGCATTACATTAATGATGCATCTGGTTTGGAGCACTTTTAGCTGTGGCTCAATATGCCAGGGGCACATTGACTCAAAATGAACAACAGTGCTCAGGTTGATTATAATGAAGGAACACGGTCACTTAGTGCAGCATGCCCATATTACAGATTTTCAATGTTTTTTGAGCCACAAAGGGAAGTAATGAGCTCTATTTTAATAGCTTTGGCTACTTATTTAACTATTTGCGGGACTAGTTTGCTTTTGGTAAATTTTGGTCTGTCATTCATTTGTTGACAATAGGAAATATGCAGAGTATTATCAGCCTTATTCTTTAAACACAATCTCATCACATAAAGCATCTGTAGAATATATAAATCGTACTTACTGTTTGTAGGTGAATATGACAATCAGTATGGCGGGTACACAACAGATAATGATAATGACAGCCAGAGCCAACAGCGCCCCCTCTGTGTAGCCTACAGTCTGCACAGCTTTCTTTACACTGGTAACCACTTCAGGAGTTCGGATTTCCAAAATCCGGCCACCAGGAGGGAGAAAGGGCTGAAACTCTTTATTGATGTCCAAAAGTTTACCATCAAGAAACCTTGAATAAAAGACACACAGTGTAACTGAGAATACGCATATCTTTTGCATATCTCATGTAAAGGCTCAAAGTACGCAAAACAGAAATAGCATAAAAACAAGAAATTCAAAGTTAACAGTCTTTCTCTTGTTTTCACTTCTCTGTTCTCTGCAACTCCCATCACACACACATATAACCGGAAGCAAAACCCTTCCACACCTTTATATAAAAGACAGTTGTAGCCAATGGGACATCATCCACTGGTTTGTGAAACCTCTAGCTGAGCAATTTGGCCTTCCCAGTTATTTGAAACTACACATCATCTTTTTGATGCAGTCTACAGATTCAGACCTGGCACTCCTGGGTAAAAGGCCCTCTTCTCAACCCAACAGGCCACTGAGACCACTCTTACTTGCCCTTTAAGCTAGTCACCTGATCCTGTCTAAAAAGGCTTAAGACCCATGTCATGGGCTAGCTTATCTGAAGCCTAAAATAGAGCCAAGAAAAGGTGACAGACCTGAGTTCCCCCTCAGACTTGAATTACCATCAACTAAATGATCAGTCTATATTCTTTAAACATACAGTCACATAAAAGGAAACAATACCCTTTAAAACTCAAATATTTTATGAATTAGAATATAATAGAAATGTTTGGGTCCTTAACAGGTCTTAAAATCTGGTAAATAAAAACCCAGGAGAACAACAACACATGAAATATTACACAAATTCATTAATTATTTAACAAATACTAGGCCAAAACACACCCTTACTGCTTCCACAGGAATTAAAGGGCAGCAGCCAGCTGGTGTTAATAAAATGCAACTTGATTAACAGATCATCAGCCAGTGTGAGCACCTCTATAAAAGGAGAGGTTTTGGCAGTTTGCTGCTCTGAAGCATTCAGCTGAGTGTTATTGACATCAAAAAAGCAATTGTTGTTGCCCATCAATCTGAAAAAGGGTTATAAAGTGATTTCCAAACAATTTGAATGCCCATCAAATTGTCCATCATTCTACAGTAAGAAATGTTATTTATAAGTGAAAAACATTCAAGGCAGTTGCCAATCTTACCTGCAAATTCAACCCAAGGTCAGAAATTTTGAAAAACCCAAGAGCTACATCTCAGACTTTACAAGCCTCAGTTAGCAAGTTAAATGTTAAAATACAAGACAGTGCAATTAGAAAAAGACTAAAGGGATATGGCCTGTTTGTAAGGATTGTCAAAGAAAGCATCTTCTCTCTAAAACGGGATATAGTCGAACAGTTTAGGTTGAATCTGAGGAAACCACAAGACAACTGGAGGAATGGCTTTTGGACAAACAAGATCATAGTGCAGATATCTGGTCAAAATGCAGAGCGTCATATTGGGTAGAAACTGAAGCACATGCTGACTGTCAAGCACAGTGATGCAGGTATGATGATGTGGGCTTCTTTTTCAGCCACAGGATTTGGGCCTCTTGTAGTCACTGAGTCGACCATGAACTGCTCTGTATACTGTACATGCTTTTATAAGTATTGTACAGTCAAAAGTGAGGCCATCACTCTGACAGTTGAATCCCAAAAAGCTGATTCTGTTCATCTGGATGTAGCATTTTCAGTGGGAGAAATGTTTCATCATTCATCCAAGTGACAACTGCTGCCTAAGAAAAAACCCTTAGTGGTCCCAAATGTGTCAGGAGTATCAGAACCATTTAGATGCTTTTTCTCTCAACACTGCGTCTCTGTGGCTTTCAAACCCCAAATTAGGGGTTTTAGCGCCTAAGGGTACATCTGTCACCATCTTACAATGCTGTGATTGCAGCCATTCCCCAGCTCTCTGTGAATGGTACTCATGGCCATTGATTGATGGTCTTTGACCAGTGGTTGCTGATCAATGGTCATGACAATTTGCATATCAAGGAACTGACCTCACAGCACATTGTTCATCAGTTGTGTTAGGTTCAGTCATTGTGCAAATGTACTGCTTATAAGGTTGGGAAACCTGCAGTCAGCTGTGACTGAAGAAGTCACTTGGATGAGTGCTGAAACATTTCTCCCACTGAAAATGCTAAGTCCAGATGAACAGAATCAACTTTTTGGGGTTTAATTACCTGGATGATTGAGCATGCATCAAAACTGACAGCTAAAGTGGGTAAAGCAGACCAATGCCTGCAAAATCTCAATGAACTGAAGCATTTCTATAAAGAAAAACCCCTGCAACAATGTGAGAGACTGAGAAAAATCACACAGAAAACAATTACTTCAAGTTATTGCTGTTAAAGATGGTTCTAGCTACTCAACCATTGGGTTGTTCTTAGTTTTTCACACACTGTCTCTGGATGTTGGCTCAGTTTTTGTTCAATAAATGATAGCATGGTGTAATATGTCATGTGTTGTGGTTCACCTGTGAATTTTAAGAGCTGCTAAGGACAAGAAAATAAATTATTATGTCATGATATGTAAAAACTTACTTTTTACCATGACTGCATAGAATAGCCCTTTATTGTTATTGTACATGTACAACACAACTATAGGATGTAGCCTAACCCAGTTTTAATTGCAAAGCCACGTAGATTAGTTTCTGTTCTTTTCTACATATAAAGCTAGCTTGTTGGTAAAGTTCTTACTTGTAGAGCTCCTGCCTTGATACAGCTCTATTCGTCAGTGGGTCGATGGCATAAATCATAAGGTCTGACTTGGTGTAGTCTTCCTGCTCCATCCCATCCCCATGACGGTGAGGCCCGATGGTTTCCACGACAACCTTTGCTCCTGGTATCTGTTCCTGGACATAGCGTTCCAAAATGCTGAGGATTGAAAAGATTGGATTTTGATATACAGCATCAAAGCATTATAACCCCTTCAGTATTCCCAGCATGACATCCACATACACACATTAATGTAGAGAAAAATACTGTTTCTTAGATCCAAACAAGTTCTCATATATATGGACAGACAAAGCCGTCAGACTCCAAACACACCACATCACACATACATACACACACACCACCACATGCACATTTTTAAAAAATCCTGTCAGCCAGGCAGACTCCTGCTGAGCAGTATTGATTTCTGTCCCCCCAGAAACACCTGCTCACAGCAGGAACTCTAACTCATGTGTGTCTGCATGTGCATGTGCATGTGAATCAGACAGAAAAGATGACAAGTGCTTTAAAACATCATTAACAAATTATACTGTATTTGCGAGGCAAAACAAAGCATCAGTCCAGCACCAGCTGTGCAGAGTATTTGCTACGTGTCACAGAAAGGCCCACTGTTGACTGTGTATATAAAATATCATATCATGCAGTGATTTACGCATTTTGTGTTTTGCTTGACTGTCGTCACACAAAAGAAAATGCATTTAGTGTTTTACTTTCCAGCTGCCACTGATGTGGGGATAAGGTCAGGTACTTTGAATATAGCAAGTGATATTTTACAGAATGTAGAGAGAGTAGGAGGCAGAAAAAGGGGATGACTGATAGCATAGGTAACAAAATAGCTAATGTTAGCTAATGTTTGCTGTTAGAGGCTTTCAAATACCCTTTAAAATTGCTCTCAACAAAAGAGAAAACAATACAAAAGCTGTTCAGTACTGTGAAAAAGTTTTTAGTTACCGCTCATTTCTTTCTATTTTGCTTCCAAGTAACCAGATTTTCTTTCAAATTTTAAAATGGTCTTGAGCAATAGTTCTCCAGGCTTTCAGAGTTTTTCTTTGGATACTGGCTGTTGTTTTCATCCCACTTCTTCTGGCTGACCACTTTCAGAGAAATTGTTCTTTTACGTTTGTTTGTTTGTTAGGCAATAACTGACCTATGAATCATTCAAGGACAGAAAAAAAGGAAAGAAACCTGGACAAGTGGATGACAAAAGAAAAACTGGCATGCCTAAAAAATTATCTACAGCAGGTGAACTGTATGTGGCAGTCAATAAAACAGGAAAGACTCAGCAAACATGACACAGGACAGGTGTGCTGTCCTGTGTCAGCCTCATCAGAAATGGTTTCAGTGGAGAAATTACACAAATTACAAAAGAAGTGGAGTGAAAAGCAGTGGAAACAGGTCTGATGAACTTTTAACTGAAATTGCAATCAGTATTTATGGAGGTCAGGGGAGAGGTGAGTGTCTCAATTTGTCTACAGTTTGTAAAACGCGGTAGAACTGATGAGATTATGAATGTAGAAATGTACTGGGGATTATGATCCACCATGCAGTGCTGAAAAGTATCTGAGTGGGATTGGTTTTGTTTTTCAGTATGCCACTGATGCCAAGCAGACTGCCGGTGTAGCAAAAGCATACCTGGATAGAAAAACACACAGTGGAACATTATCAGTCATGGATCGGCCTCCCCGGAGCCTGAACCTCATGCAGTGTAGGATCATCTTGGCAGAGAACACAACAAAAACCAGCCAACATCCAAAGAAGAGCTCTGAATGTTGTTCAAGAAGCCTGGAGAACTATTCCTGAAGACTATGCAAAGATTTTACAAAAACTAGAAAAAAATTCAGGGAGAGTTGAGGCTGTTTTGAAGAATAAAAGTGGTAATATTCACTTTCGAGCTTGTTAGTATTGCAAAGAAATGAAAGGGAGCTCAAGACTTTTGCACAGCACTGTATTAAAACTAGTAGCTCTTAACGTCAATTAAAAACGAACAATTGCCATTGTGCACTCTGTAACTGTGGTGGTTTGCATGTGCCTGTTATAGAGATTGTGTTAGTTTAATGAAACACTTGAGATCTTATTCTTACAAGGACATTTTCGGAAATCATTATAAGAGCACGGCTAAATTTTAAAGACAAGAGTGTTTTTGCTCTTTAACTACTGTTGTTGAAAACCCCATGCGACAATTAGAGTTTAAGTCCCTCCTGTGGGGAGACACCATCGCTAAATCAATACAAGGACTTCAAACTGTGCAAACTCGAAATAAATCAATTTGTGACTAAAACTTAATTTCAATGCTGAAAAGTACACTTAGTCTGAAAACTTTTACAAGAGTTCTCTTCTTGTTGCTTGCACAGAGCTTGGTTTGCCTTTCACTTTTGTTACCTTGCTACTTGATGACACTGCAGGTAATTATTTTAAGGTAACCAGCAGTCTAGTTTTGATCTGTCTTATCAAGTCTAGTAAAACACATTATCCAAGCACCAAGTGAAAAAGGTGTCAAAAAGTATATCCCTTTTCTTTCCAAGCTCCTTTATTGTCTAAGGAGCTTGGAAAGAAAAGCATCTGGACTTCAGTTTCCTTGAAGACGCTTCACCTCTCATCCGAGAAGCTTCTTCAGTTCTACGAGCAACTGGTGGAGAGTCCCAGGTTTTAAGCCCTTTGGGAGTGTCCCCAAGAGAGACATGGAACCCCTATTGATCCTCTACCTAATTGCACGAGCCCAGATGCTTTCTCTTAGAACTGAAGAAGCTTCTCGATGAGAGGTGAAGCGTCTTCAAGGAAAGTCCAGATGCTTTTCTTTCCCAGGTCCTTAGACTACGATGACCTGGATGACCGAGAACCTTCAGAGAACTATTAGCCCTTACTGTTTTGACGCTCAAGATACCATTACCAAGCTATATTGCTAAAGGGCTAAAGGTATGTTAACATACCAAGCTAGTATTTCTCTCTTTAGCAAATAAAAAACAACCTTTTGCACACTTGATTTTCCTGTATATACTGCCTGTCTGAAGTCCATTCCCATCCCTCTCAATCCCTCTGGGATTCATACGTAGACTTTGATGAAGCCATCCTATTATTATACTTGGACACAAGCTATAAGGCTTCCACCACTACTACAGGGAGTGCAGAATTATTAGGCAAGTTGTATTTTTGAGGAATAATTTTATTATTGAACAACAACCATGTTCTCAATGAACCCAAAAAACTCATTAATATCAAAGCTGAATGTTTTTGGAAGTAGTTTTTAGTTTGTTTTTAGTTTTAGCTATTTTAGGGGGATATCTGTGTGTGCAGGTGACTATTACTGTGCATAATTATTAGGCAACTTAACAAAAAACAAATATATACCCATTTCAATTATTTATTTTTACCAGTGAAACCAATATAACATCTCCACATTCACAAATATACATTTCTGACATTCAAAAACAAAACAAAAACAAATCAGCGACCAATATAGCCACCTTTCTTTGCAAGGACACTCAAAAGCCTGCCATCCATGGATTCTGTCAGTGTTTTGATCTGTTCACCATCAACATTGCGTGCAGCAGCAACCACAGCCTCCCAGACACTGTTCAGAGAGGTGTACTGTTTTCCCTCCTTGTAAATCTCACATTTGATGATGGACCACAGGTTCTCAATGGGGTTCAGATCAGGTGAACAAGGAGGCCATGTCATTAGTTTTTCTTCTTTTATACCCTTTCTTGCCAGCCACGCTGTGGAGTACTTGGACGCGTGTGATGGAGCATTGTCCTGCATGAAAATCATGTTTTTCTTGAAGGATGCAGACTTCTTCCTGTACCACTGCTTGAAGAAGGTGTCTTCCAGAAACTGGCAGTAGGACTGGGAGTTGAGCTTGACTCCATCCTCAACCCGAAAAGGCCCCACAAGCTCATCTTTGATGATACCAGCCCAAACCAGTACTCCACCTCCACCTTGCTGGCGTCTGAGTCGGACTGGAGCTCTCTGCCCTTTACCAATCCAGCCACGGGCCCATCCATCTGGCCCATCAAGACTCACTCTCATTTCATCAGTCCATAAAACCTTAGAAAAACCAGTCTTGAGATATTTCTTGGCCCAGTCTTGACGTTTCAGCTTGTGTGTCTTGTTCAGTGGTGGTCGTCTTTCAGCCTTTCTTACCTTGGCCATGTCTCTGAGTATTGCACACCTTGTGCTTTTGGGCACTCCAGTGATGTTGCAGCTCTGAAATATGGCCAAACTGGTGGCAAGTGGCATCTTGGCAGCTGCACGCTTGACTTTTCTCAGTTCATGGGCAGTTATTTTGCGCCTTGGTTTTTCCACACGCTTCTTGCGACCCTGTTGACTATTTTGAATGAAACGCTTGATTGTTCGATGATCACGCTTCAGAAGCTTTGCAATTTTGAGACTGCTGCATCCCTCTGCAAGATATCTCACTATTTTTGACTTTTCTGAGCCTGTCAAGTCCTTCTTTTGACCCATTTTGCCAAAGGAAAGGACGTTGCCTAATAATTATGCACACCTGATATAGGGTGTTGATGTCATTAGACCACACCCCTTCTCATTACAGAGATGCACATCACCTAATATGCTTAATTGGTAGTAGGCTTTCGAGCCTATACAGCTTGGAGTAAGACAACATGCATGAAGAGGATGATGTGGACAAAATACTCATTTGCCCAATAATTCTGCACTCTCTGTATACTTTACATATGAAGTTCTTTTTGTAAAAAGCTTTCTTTGGTATGTACTAGAACAATTTACTGCTTCTTTGGCCAAACACTGCTATGTTTAATGTTTTTTTCGTCCAGAGAAGATTCTTCCAAAGGACTAAAAGTTCTTTGCAAAACTGTACTTTTGCTTTAATAAGGTTTTTGGACAGCAAAGACTTTTTCTGGCACACCTGACACACAGGTCAAATTGATCTCTTTCTGGTGTGCAGCCATGCCCTTTGACAGCTGGAATAGTTACCAGGAGGCTCCTGCTGGCAGTCTGTTAAAATAAGGGATGATTTCTCTTAGAGTGAAATTATTTATTTCAAATAGAGCTCTTTCAATCTTGGCGTGTTGATGCCACACATTTCAGCAGGAAAGAAAACACCTGACCTTCATATATTTAAGTGCAGGACCGTTTATTAAAATCCACTGCTTCAGAGAGGATTAGAAGTTTGCCTCTGCAAACACCAAAACTCTTCCTACAGATTTTTTTCTTTCTTAGATAAACTACATTCATCAAGTTGGATGTACAAATGGTTAAACCCAAGCTTTTTGCTCTATTGTCAAAAGCATCAAACGTTACCTCAGAAGCTTCTCTTTGTTTTTCTCCACGTACGTAGGAGGGACATTTGATACAACGACCTGCATGTCCAGCTGGTTCACGACTGACACCTACACAACAGGAGAGGAAAACTGAGATAAAAACCTGCTGAAGCACTTAAAATAAACCAAAAATAACATCCTGTGCTCTGATTTCGGTGCATCTTAACAGACAGAACTTCCACATGTTTGTAAATGCAGTCAAATGAATAACATTTCCCTTCTACAGCACACAAAATGTGCTTCAGGTTTGCCACAAATTGAATTTGTTTTTACACTTACCTGCTAAAGGATGTATGTGGCAGTGTAAGGGAGCAGTGGAACACATGTAATTTAGCAGTTTGATTACATATTTTTTTATAGCTTGTTGGTGGTTGGACTACGTTCATATTTGAATAGTGTACTTTGCCATTATTTTGTCTACGGTACTACAGAACCTGCAAGCAATTAACTTGACTATATTGGAAGTAAATTAGTCACATGTATTAATTATTCACAAATCAAGCCTTCTTTAGAGTGACGTGGTTAACTGAGCATCTTAGACTATAATTTTTTAGGTTAAAGGCAGGTGTCAGACTAGTAGACACAAGATGCAGAGATTAAAGTGGAATGTGTTATTTTTTTGCCTTATGTGGGACCTTTGTGCGAACAAGTAGGAACTCAGATGAGCAACATTTTTTACTAATATGTGATGTTTTTGTACTACATTTCATAAGGGTTTCTTATGAAATGGGCACTCTCACTCTTGTCATATTTTTTAGAAAATGAGTTCAAACTACTCTCTCTCATTAGCTTTAGTTAACCAAAGACGATTTCTCCCTGCAGGCATCGTTTTGCTGTGTTTACTTGTTCCAGTAAGAAGTCATTAGCAGCTTGCAAAACTATCCTTTCAGTGCAGCTTCCTTCACACTATCCTAAGAGCAATAAAAATCTCATTGCACTAATCATGTCACCCAGTTCATTTTAGGTTGGACGCCTTAAAAAAAAGTAATCGTAAACCTGCCATTAAAATGTAATCATTGTGAAAAAAACACAAATTATACATACCACTATGTCTGCTTTGCTGCTGTGTCCTTGACCATAGTTGTCTGTAGCAACCACCTCAAACTTAAAATACGACCTCCTCATATTGCGGTACATGATAGCAGTCTTCACAACGCCGCTGTACGGTTCAATGATAAAGCCATCTTTGGTGTCTTTAGTGTCTTTACTAGCTGGAGGGGGGGCGATCAGACGGTATATTATAGAACTGTAGTTACCAGTGTCTTTGTCCAGGGCCTGGAAAATAAGAAAAATAAGGACCATTAGATGGTATTACTGTGATCATAATTACACCGCCAAGCATTACCATAATCACTGTCATTATGAAATGTCATCATCATCATGCACACAAACACTATGATCAAGCCACTGTTGTCTTTTTGGGGTTTTTTGTAAAACAAATTCCATACGCTGTAATTATTATAATGCTGTTGGTCTGCTCTTTGCCTCCTTACCATCATCCTTTCAGTCCAGGAGTTTGACACTATACAAGACACTGTCATGTACACTGAGTAGCGCAGGACTGATAGTGTGTCTCAGCTTTTACTCATCATGAGGTCACATATTATTTTTGCTTTTCTGGATTTTAAAACCTGTTCAAAGGCTTTCAGTTCTTTCATTTTTTTAATGTGATATAATTCTGAATCAGAGGAAGGGTAAAAAGAATCCTTTGAAATCTGAGCAGATCATTTAATCTATGATTCTGGCTAACTATCATGTCTCTCCCTTGTTCAATATACATGCAAATCTCACATTAAAATCCAGACACACTCTCAGACAGACATTGATTTTATGCAGGGTTATTATAAGAAGGGCTAGAAATGTAGATATAGACACCCGTCACATCAAAGGTAAGATATGGTAGATAAAAACAAAGCAAAATGTTTTTTTTCATAGCTAGGGAATAAAGAAGCAACAAAAAAGAAACAAAGGTAATAAGGAGAAAGATGAGATCAGGAAGGGGGGCGTACTGAAGGAAGAACAAATGTATACATCTTTTTCATTTTCTGGGTTCTTCCTTGCAGAGATGAGGGTAACTTTTCAGCAATACATTAAAATGTGCACTAGTGATAAGAGCTGCTTTAAACTGTACAGGGTGCAGGTCTCTCTGCTGCACCTATGAAGAGATATGTCCAAATCCAAGCAGGCCTGTGTCGTTCTAAAGTCGCAGTTTATTTGCCTTTGCACCTGTACACTTACCCAACTTCCTGTAAACATGAAATATATGAAATATGTGGGCACAAATGAATAATTGAGCAATAGCTGCAAACATTTTAATATACTCATGCCCTGCACACCTAAGAATTATTCAGAAGCATTTTGCACAGATGACGCCAGCACTTGGTGAGCAAGGTAGTACTCAAACCAGAAGCAACGCTGCATCATCTAGCGAGGCATCCTGATCAAACAGATGCTGTTCCCATTAAAAAAAAAGAAAGAAAAAAAAAGATTGGATTGTAGCTCTGCTGTTTACCTTGTAATTGCCTTGATGGAGGAAAAAAAAGTCCCAGCACTGGAAACTCTGATGGATTATTAAAGCTGGACTTTCTGTCTAGTATATTTTCATTTTATCAGTACCCATAACAACACAACCTCACCAAGCAGGGCTTTGCTTTAAGGCAATTTCTGGTCAACACACTAGTTAAAAGAGAGAAAGAAGCTTAAATGTCAAAGATTTACACAGCTGGAAAAGTAGAAATAGCTACATTCAGCTGGGTTTACGACATCACATAGTTCTGCATGTATGATTTAGCAGTTTTACACAACCCCAAAGGGGATTTATGTCTCCAGCTGGAAGTGAACCAGTGATTTTATTTTGCCAAGCAAATATGTAAACCACCACACTACGGAGGCAGAAGTGCATCTGGAAAAACATTTTTAACGGGCAAAAAGTGAAATTAATGAATTTAGAAAAAAATAATGGAGATGACTGAGCTTGATTGTTGATGTAGTCTAATCAATATTTGAATTATGGCATCCTCTGAGGGACAAAATAACACATCAACTCCTCCATGTGCAAATTGTAAACCCTAAAGGCAGAAACGTCCTGCATGTAGCAACACACAGACAAAAAACCCCCATTTTGTCTGAAGAAGACGATTTGCATGCTTCAGACAGATGAGATAGGATTATTCATAATTAAGATTGGAAAAGCACATTTCTCAAAGTTACTCTGAAGCTTTTGTCTCACTCCCTTTTTCATTTTGATGCTACCATGTGTACAGCTAGCATCCCTGTCCATCTTTCTAGTCACTCCCTGCTGTTATCTATTCATCCATCATAGATCATGTATGTCTTCCCTGCTTTTTTCAGTCCAGTCAGTTTGTCTCTCAGCAGGGTGTCAGCTCTTCTTATCTAACCATCAATCCTTTCTCCTCCTTTAACCTTTAGATATATTGCCTCACTCTGTGGCAATTGAGCGTGCAACCAGTTTTTCTCTCTCAGTTTATTTAAATTGTTTAAAAAGCTGGTTCCTGTAATCCAGCTTCAACCAAACATAGTTCTAACCCATACAAAACCCATATGTAAGCCCCAAACCTCAGGTGTTTGAAGCAGAGGAATAGCAAATTGAGACACTCGGTTCATGAGTGAGAAAAGCACATCGTCTGAACTTGTGAAACATGCTCTCCTGATACTCTCATCGTTCCTGTCACTCTCGCTGGAATGATCTAATGAAGGAGGAATATCTAAGAATGATCTTAAAAACAGTAATGAAATATTAAAGCGCATACTTTTCTGCCAGGGACCCTGACTGGGTCTCTTGTGGCATCCAGGCTCATTAAAACATATTGCAATTTCTAAGATAGAGGCTGAAAGAGATAGGCTCCGTGACCCATTTAGGGTCCTGAAAGGCATTTTAATAATACGCTCAAGTTGTTTACAGTTACATGAATCTTTGTAGCAGTCAGGTATACCAAAGGGAAACAGAGAGATTTCTCAATCAACAGAGAAAGAAAAAACATACCTATCAATCATGATTTTTGTAATACTTGAATAATTTTAAAACAAGAAAAAAAATCTATTTCCAAACAAGCACTGTGTAAGCAGTACCTTACAATATAGTAAAATCCATACTACAAGCCTACAAAGTACATAAATCAGGGTCTTGTTTTAAGCCTCTACTGTAATTAGCAATTTGAACTGTGTGTTTTATGCTATTTGTGTTAATAGGCATATCTTTGTGTAGTTGTACCTGTACTTGCAAGACTGAGGTGAAGGTTTTGGAGTCTTCTGCAACTCCTCCAATGTAGAGAGGTCTAGTGAATTCTGGCGCATGGTCATTTTCATCCTGGACATCAATCACCACTTTAGCTGTGTTAGCTAGAAAACAGAAACACAAAATACACATTGTGATACACTTTTCCATAAAGGAGTGCTTTTGTGAAACACATACAAGGACAAGCACAAGCAGCATTGACTGGCTGCAGTGCTGTAGCACCAGTAATTTCATCCTTCAGGTTCACGTCAGCAGATTGTTAATCGAGCTAGCTAGAGTTAGCCGATAGCTAAAATAATAGCAATGGCCTAAAATACTATGGTCAAGGTTCAAAATGGAGCTTCACAAACCAAAAGGAGACGTCCCAGTGAGTACATCATATTTTATATAGAGTCTATGCCTGTGTCGCATAACAGATGTGTTTCAGGTTGTGGAACATTAATCAGATTTACTCTGATCCATGTTATGAGTTCAAGACATCCCTTTTAGATTTGATCACTTTCTTTTTGGCCCTGTAAAACTTGAATCATAAAATAACTGCCAGAAAATTGTAATTTTTTAAGTATTTATTGAAACTTCAGACTATTTCAATTTGCATATATCTGTTTTAATTTGTATCATTTTTGCTACATTTGGCATTTTTTGTCCAATTTATTGCTTACAAATGTATTGTTTCAGTGTTATTAGGTGTTTCAAATTGATTTGAAAGTTTGATTTTTGTGGTTTACATTCATATTGTGGAGGTAAGCATCAACGACACAGCTCTCAGTTCTCACTCCTTCTTTATTCGTCTCCAACATCAACTGCGCATATCGCGCCACAAAACACAGGAACACACTTCCTATACACTGGGTGTGAGTGGAGCCCTCTAGTGGTCCACCACACATGCCCCCCCCCGAACACCCAGCAGAACTAGTCCAGGACCCGGGGCTTAAGCAAACGGCCGGAGCGACTGAACTGGGGGGGTGGGGAACTGACAGAGGGCAACCCAGCCCGGGAGCGAGGCTGGCACTGGCGGTCAGAAAAAGCTGAAGACGACTCGGACTCCGTGGATTTCGGGTCGCTCCTGGGGGAAAAAACAGAATCCATCAGCCCGGTGGCAGGTGGGCGGCCGCGGCGAGGGGCCTGGGCCGGGACCACCTGATCCTCTTGCATAACATGTGCAGGCTTAAGTCTGTCAACAGAGACAACTTCCTGCCGACCGCCAAAGTCCAAAAGGAAATGTTTGTTGCCTGGTTTAAGAACCCTGTATGGCCCGTCATATGGTGGACGCAGCGGAGTCCTATGGGCATCGTGCCTGACGAAAACGAAACGAGCAGAGTCCAATGAACTCGGAACAAAGGTGTCAGGCAGGCAGTGGTGCACAGGACCAGGAACAGGAAATGAGTTTCTTGGGGGGCGAAAAGGCAACAAAGAGGTATCGAAACATGGGGGAGGGCTCTCAGGTAAGAATTCCCCGGGGACCCGGAGAGGCTGGCCGAGGACCAGTTCAGCCGGGGAAACCCCGAGGTCTTCTTTAACCGCGCTACGCAAACCCAGCAAAACCCACGGAAGACGTTCGACCCAGTCGCCACTTGTCAAGGAACGTCGGGGTCACCAATGTGGAGGTAAGCATCAACGACACAGCTCTCAGTTCTCACTCCTTCTTTATTCGTCTCCAACATCAACTGCGCATATCGCGCCACAAAACACAGGAACACACTTCCTCTACACTGGGTGTGAGTGGAGCCCTCTAGTGGTCCACCACAATATTATCATATCCGCTCATTGGCCATAGCTTCTAAAAGAATGCCACTTGATTTAGATTTATGTTAAAAGCACATTGCGCACTCCTAGGAAGTGCATATGTACAGTATAGGCAAGTTGGTGTATCCAAAACTTGTCTGACAATGAATAAGAGTTTAAAATTTACAGCTAGAGTTACAACTTATTGCCACCATTAGCAAAGGTGAAAAAAAACCTCTACCAACCAACCCCCCCAAAAAACACCAAAAACAAAAGAAAAGCTCCGAGTTAAAGTAACTAATCACAAGCATTTCCCTTCATCAACAGCTATGATTAATTCGGCTACAATTAGAAGCTTCGAATGAAAAATCTGATTAAAAGAATCTCCTCATCTCTTTCATCAGTACTCTGATGGTGGGCTCTCATCAGATTTCATTAAAAAACTTTGGTATTGCAAACCATCCCAAACATCTATGCTTCCATTTTGATTCAAATGTCCCTAAAAAGTCATTGGCGTGCTGTGGTATGTGCTGTGGTACCGAGACTGTTCAATGAATGTTCTATGTATTGCATTGAGAAGCTGGAAAACAAACTGCATTTTCAGGGCATTCAAAGGATTTCAAAACATGGGTTAGTTAAGTGAACAATGACTAAAGGACTTCAAGTTCATCATCTGAAAGTATGTAGTGAGATATTTAAGACACTTCTCAATGTGGAGTATGCAAGTAATGGAGCAATAACATTGACCTGAAGGATCTGATCTGATTTTTGAGACATGTGTCAAGAAATCTCAACCCTTAATGATAACTGACAGCATCAGAGACGTCTTGGCCTTTCCAAGGCAACTGTCTTCACAAGCAATGTCTTTGCCAAGATTACAAACCAGTTTTTGCATCAATAATTCATGTTTTAGTACTGAAAACACACACACAGAAAAAGCTGCTTTAAATGTCTTACATATCCTTTAAATATTCAGTATAAGCTACTGTGTTTTCTATTTGTTAATTGTACCTCAGAATGACTCACATTCAGTCTTTATCTGGCCATGAACAAGAAATTCAGAATCACACCCACGGAAAACTGTATCATAATAAATCAACCCGACGGTTAAAAGGTGAATCATGTCAGAAAGACAGCACAAACCCAGGATTGTGAACTTTTGTTTACTTCAATACAGACAAAAGAAGACAAAAAAATTCCCTTAATAAACTTGCACTGCTGACAGGATAAAGCAAACAATATTCAGCTTATCTTTAACAGGCATCCTTAAAACACAAGCGCAAAACATATAGTTTCAAGCCATATCTTCACTTGAATTAAGAAGCAGGATTAACATATTGTTGAAATCTCCTATTGATTTGTTTCCTGATTAAAATTCGCACCAAGAAGAACTGAAGGAGTTCTGCTAATGACTACAATGACTTGTAGCTTTAATCCCAGCAGAATTCTTCAATTCAAATCGTTTAAATGAAACAAGAACAGCATGTGGTAAACACTATAATTAAGGAAGAGAGACCTTGGTAGCTGAACATCAATTAAGAAGAATGCAGATATGTTTTCAAAGCAAAAACACCAGCAGGCAGATGGAAATTGCAGAAACAAGAGGCAGAAACAATTAAAGAGGGGAAGGAAAGCCACAATTTCAGTTTTAGTCAACACTTGATCTCACATGCAATTTTGGCAACAAAAAAAGTAAAAAGAAAGACTTGAAAACTTAGATTACAGCTGGTTTACCACTGAACTGACCTGCACAGATCACTGAGTACCAATGCTTGGGACAGACTGGAAAAAGTTACAGCTTTACAGATATGATCTTCAATCTTCCAACCCGCTTGCCAGCTTATTTTCCCACTTTGATCATAGCAAACACTCTTTGACATTTGAGAAATAAATTCTAGGCAGTTATATAATTGCACATGTGCCGAGACCTCGAGTGAGAGGCAATGAGACACACATCTAGCTTTTTAAAAAAAATCAACATCAACAGTGAGGGCAACAAACTGGCAAAACCTGCAGCTTTGATAGAAATCTAAGAAGAAAAAGTTGCTTTAAAGGCAACACTAACTGCCAAGGTAGAGTATAATAAAAAGTAGAGCTTTGTAGAGCGTGTGCAAGGTGAAAGTTTTAACACATGCACTGCAGCTCTGAACGTGTTGTGACATTTCCCTCATGAAGATGCATATGATAATGCAAATGTTGAACCGGTCAGAAAATAATGTTTAACCTGTCAGAGCTCAGGACAAAGTATGTGTGATGTCAGATGTCAGTTTGAGAATAATAAATCTTCCCTCCTAAACATTCCACGGTAATCTGTGAGTGATGTTATTGTAAGGTGGAAGCATTTAGGAACCACAACAACTCATTCATGACGTTTGCTGAGCTGTGCAGAAGTTACCAGTGCTCTGCTCACTGTGAACCAGCAGATGTCCAAAACTCCTCTAGCGTTAACATCAGCAGAAAACTGTGCACCAGGAGCTTCATTGGATGGCATTTCATAGCCGACCAGCTCATGTAGGTGGCCCGGTGCTTTTTTCCATATAGTGCACCAGTATATTAAAAAAGGTCATGAGGTGTCCTGTGATCAGGCACTTACTTTTTGAGGGAGCTCGCAGGTTTGAAGACACCACTCTCATGGAGTCCGCCTCTACCTTCAAAACATAGCTGGCATTGGTCTCATAGTCCAGGGGCTTGGCAGTGTAAATGACTCCTGTTGTTTCATTTAAAGCAAACACACCTGGGTAGAACAAGACAGAACAATTAAGAAAGATAGAAGGGTGGCATATAGTTCCATAATGTTCAGTTAGTGAGTGGGATGCCGACAGCTAGTGAGTAGCGTTTTATAGGATGAAGTGGAAGTCATATAATGTCTCCTGAGCATACAGTGATAGATTTTGAGCTCCACAACCGAACACAGGAAAACTCTGTATAACCAGCTCTAAGTTTACTCACCACCCTCGTTGCCTTCGATGATGGAGTACACGATAGTTTGATTGACAGCAGATGCTAAGATGACTCCCACTGGGGTTCCAACAGCAGCCTCCTCGCTGACTGGCAGAAACCTGGCAATGGATCAGTCAATCAATACAAACTGATGAGAAAATGAAATATGTATGTGTACACTGTGGGCCAACCTTTTCTCAAAGGGTAATCACATTTTGGCAAGTTCAGTAGACATGAGAGTTGAATCTGTAAACTTCCAAGATATTCTTTTTTTCCTTCCTTCATGCTTACAGTTATATGATCCTTCAAACCCCAGAGACAAAGTCTATAAGTAGTGTTTACATTTTTAAAAAACTGGATTGTATAACAAATGCGTAAGAAGTTGCTCTTCGAAACTGCACTTAGAGATAAAGCAAGACGTGGCTGCTGAACAACAGCTTTTTTTAAAAATGCATTTAATAAACAAATTCACTTAATCTTTGACAACACTCCTGTTTATATTCCTCAGTACAGTAATGTCAGACACCATAGATCAGTGCATTGCTGTTCTCCAGCCATATGTCAGTTATTGTTAGGATGCCTGGGTCGTTGACCCAGGGTTTTTGAGTTTATTATATTATTTATAATTTCTAGTCTTTGGGTTTTTGTTAGAGTCATGTGTTATGGTTTGTCTCTGTGTAATCCTTAGTTGCTGTCTTCCCTGTCCGCTATATCCCCGTGTCCAGTCAGTGTCTGTGTCTGCCCTGGTCCCACGTCTCTGTTCCCTCTGTTGTAGTGCCTGCATGTGAGTCTGTGTCTTTGTTCAGTCTGTGTTATGTGTTTCCTGTTTTACTTTGAAGGTCTCTGTCTTATCTCAGTGTGTTCAGTTTACGCTTTCTTGTCTCGTCAGTTCTGATTTGCCCAGCTGTGTTTCCCTCCTGTTGTCCATTCCCTGATTGCTCCCTCTATGTATTTGAGCCCTGTGTTTCAGTTTGTCATTGTTGCGATCTACCCTTATCTTGCTGTGTGTTCTGTGTAAGGTTATTTTGTAGTCTCAGTTTTGTTACCCTTTTTGAGTTCAGCATTAAAGCTGTTTTGAGTTCAAGTTTTGTCTCCGGAGTCTGCATTTTGGGTCCTTTTCCTGCCTGCACACAGCCGTCACATAACAGTTATAGGATGCCAATGACAGTGTGACAAAACACAGCAGTCAAAACAGCCTCTGCTCTCACTGATAACATGAGTTGCACACAAAGAATAAAGTCAGTAAGGACGTTCTTTAAGCATCTATGTGTTGTTTGTAAAGTCCGATGTTCAACTGAGAACAAATAATAAAATATGCAAACTAACTGAATGGCATTTGTTCAGGCATCCTACAAAATACAGCTGAATCAGCAACCAGCAGAACAGCTGATGGATCAGCTGTTACCCTTTTATAAATCCTAATAGCAAATCAACAGGCTGCTCCATGTAAGTCGCTTTAGCCTTGCAGATGCAAAGCTGCTTTGCAACCCACCTCGCCTCCTTTTCATGCCATGTCTGATCTAATCAGTGCCATGTTTTTGTCAGTGCATTCTCTAATGTGGGATGTTGCTGCTTCTCTCATTGGCTTAACATTCAGTTGGACAGGTGGGCAGATCCAAAAATACAGTCAAAGAGCCAAATGTGACAGAAAAAAACCCAGAGCATCAATGGCATAGCAGCTCATCTGATTTATCACAGTTCACAGGTTATTGGCCGTAAAACGACTAATATGATCTTGACCTTGATCACTGTGTGTAATATTTACTAAAAACGCTGTAGGAGAAGTGATGATTCTTATGATTTGTGGACAAGCTCATTGACCCATTGGCTAATCATCTTTAAACTTCTGCTGAATTTAAATAAAGGGTTTAATTCCTGTTTAACCAATTAACTCGTAACTAATAACAACACAGTTAATTCCTATCATTTAAAACAGAGAAAATCCTCCATTTCAGAAGCTGGAGCCTGCACATCCATCATATTTGTGCCTAACACATTAAAAATATGTGATTATTAAAATAAATCAGTCTGTAGTTATTTTCTGCTGATATACCTATGGACTAAATAACAAATTAGTAGATGATCAATCCCACCTTAATTAGTGATATAAACCATATGTGACATATGTTAATGGGCTTTGGTCGTTTGACGAAGGCTTACATGATGTTTGGATGAAACTTGCTCTGATACAGCACATTTGGAACAACTTGTCTGACAGGTCCCATTAGTGGCCTGAGCCAAGCGCTGAAATTAAACCATCAATAGCTTTTCAAAGGGAACCCATGCGTGGTCTTGTTTTTGTCCACCTGCCTCTTATTGTGTGTGGTGCAGTTTTCCCTACTTACAACCCTGACAGATTTTCTAAGAATCTGGCAAATCTCAAATTTCCAGCAGGCTTCGCTCCATTAAATAAACCCAGTCCAGTCATTAGGCCAACCGTCACAGCTGGCTAAACATTATAACATGGGCTACCAACTGGCTAAGCTATCAAGCCATCACTATGTGATAAATGGGACTGCTGGAGAGTGTGAGAGAGTGCGTGCTGAATGTGTTTGTATGAATTTTAACTTCCAGTCCAGTCAATTGCTTCTCTAACCACCTGTTCTATCCAAACACTCTTGCAGGTAATGGTATAGTAAACCTGAAGCTAATCAAATGAATACAGACTCAAATAGGGACCTGTTACTGCTAGGAAAAGGAAAATAAAAACACAAGCTACTAGCGATATCTCTTTTCTATTCATTCTACTATTTCATTGCAAGGTATGACAGTGTGACAGCGACCCATCATGCATTTGTACCAAAACCCTGAAAGCCATCATTCATTTCAGTCTATGTGAATGTAAACAAGTCAAAAGATCTCCTGTGAAAAAGATCTATTGTGTCTGCAGTACTGATATTGAGGCTATTTTCTTCCTTTATTACACAGTGTACAGTAATTAAAGTGTTGACTGGAAAATAGCACAAAGAGACAAAGCTAACAAAAGGACCTGGGCACACTCAGGAAAACTGGATGTTGCATTTTTGTCACTTGCTTCTGCAATCATATCCAAAGAGCAGATTTCACCACTTCTACAAGCATAGAATATCCATGCTCCCTTCCTTTCTCTTATCCAGTTCAGGGTCTCAGGGGTGCTGGAGCCTATCCCAGCTGTCATAGGGCAAAAGGCAGGCTACACCCCAGACAATTACCAGGTTTATCACAGAGAGACAGACAACATTTCACATTCATGGCCAATTTAGAATAGCCAGTTTACCAAACCAGCACATGCAGTCTTTTGGACTGTGGGGATAAAAAGGTGCGAGCTCCACACGGAAAGGGCCCAGCAGGAGGGTGGATTCAAACCCAAGACTTTCTTGCTGTAAAATAACAGTGCTAATCATTGCACCCCTGTTTAAAAAGATCTGTAGCATCATAGCTGATACTGGGGTTATTTTCTTCCTCCTTTAAACAATGTACCATAAGTAAAGGGTTACCAGGAAAGAGAAGCAGCTATAATACAATATAATATAGCCTTAAATACAAATATCTTTGTGGTAAAGACGCATTTAATTGAGAAAACGGCTGAGTTTCTTCAAGCACACTGTTACTAAGAAGAAGAAAAAAAGAGCACCAGGAATACAGCTAGCCAACAATAAAGAATAAACATGAAGTGTTTTTTTGTAGTGCAACAACTTATCAAAAGGCTTGGAATAAATGATTTCCTTCCTTTTGTTGTACTATTAAAGCCAAGAACGCCTCTGATTTTAATCATTTTAAATTTAATTTTGTAATTGCTTTGCATTCATTTACTGTGTTATCTTGGTGTAACGCTCATTTCCTTGTGATAACAAGCTAATTATTTAGTTATGACATGAAAATAAACATTTTTATTACTCTTCCAGCACTATTCCTCCTCCTCCCTTTCTCATGTCTCTATCTTTCCCATTTCTATAGTTCATCCCCACTAAAATCTCAATTCCTCACTTAGACTCACTCCATTCATGCCGTCTAGATTCCTCATCCTGCATTTTTTCCCTCCACATCTCCTTCGGCCTCTCTATCTTTCCCTCAGGCTGCTGCTTCCAACCACCATCCCAGCAGACCTCAGCAACTACCAGCTATTTGTTATCCTTTCTTCCAACCCTCCATCTCCACAGTGGCTACTTGACAGGGATGAAGGAAGAAAACTGAGTGATTGCCCACACACATGCACGCATGTGCACACGCACCCATGCACATGCTCGAAACATCATGCTCTATGCGCACCTTTACATTCGCACATACACATAAAACTGCACATGCACAAAGCTCATTACCAAGCCTATGTCACACCCCCTCTTGCACTCTCTAATCATTGCTGTTCTGACTGCTGCAAGCTGGACTGATACTGATAACAACAGAAACACACACACACACACACACACACCTAAACTATATTTGCGGATATACTATATTGACTGTCATTCATTCCCTAAAAGCTTACTACATGTGCAAAGTCATCAGAATTTCAAAAAAAACCTTTAACTTTAAAACTAGCTCTAAAAAAAGCACACATACCTACCCAAAGTACACATTCTGAATAAATGCAGTTTGCAGGACATAGTCTTAAGAGAGTTTTAACAGTGTGAAAGGACAGACAGGATAATGGGGAAAGTGATAGATGCTGGCGATGATACCCTCCCTCCTTGTAGGTCTTTTTCTCAAAGCCACAGTCATCCATTTGTCCCACTTATTGTTTTTTTCCTCAGTTATTATCTCGTCTATTTCAGCTCCTGTTTCTTTATGATGCATCATTTGGCCCTTCTTGTCATTATTCTTCCATCCCTCCCCACACTGCTCCCTTTCATTTCTCTATTTCTCTACAGCAATTCTGGTCTGGTCCTTTTCTGCTGTGTCCAGTACCGGGCATTTCTTTGGCTCCGTTTTGCTTTGGCAACATCACTGCACAAAAGATTTTTTGTTGTTGTTGTTTTTAAATCTCAGATGAAAGTCATGTTTGATCTGATGCTTTACAATGCGTGGGAGGGCACTCCTGGCTGCACGCTGACAGATCAATATGGGCTGTTTTGCAGCAATGTTTCAGATTCATTCATCATCAGTTAATTAGTCAAAATATGTAAAAATATTGCTTCAATTA